CTCTCTCTCTCTCTCTGTCTCTCCCCCGTGAGCAGACATACTCTATGACAAAAGTAAAAATAATAGAAAGGGAGGAAAAAAGCATTACTAATACTGAACACAGACCGCTCGGAAACACTGAGTCAGATGGCAAAGATAGAAAAGGCTCCGGGCCTCAGCCTGCACCTGACCATCCCGACCACCCCCCAGCTTTGCCCCAGGACTCCAGGCCTGCATCTGTCTTGTCCACCCGGGGCTCTGACAAGTGGTGGCCGAGGGAGGTTTACCCCTTATCCCCAGCTGCTGTCCCACTAGAGAGGGAAGCAGCTGAGCAGCAGTTCCTTGTCATTCAGCTTAAAACCGTTACCTTCTAGAACCTTTCATTTCTGTCCCACCCCAGGTACCCCAGCACCCCCAGACTTTCATCCCACTACTTTCATTCAATTCTCCTCCCTCCCAAGTTCCTCGATCGCACCCACTGAAGTATAGTCTGGAACCAGCAAGTTCCCCAGGGTCCCCTCTTCTTCCTTGATCGATCCTTCCTTCCTTCCTTCCTTCCTTCCTTCTTTCTTTCTTTCTTTCTTTCTTTCTTTCTTTCTTTCGGAGAGGTTTTACTATAGGGCGCTGTGTGTGCTCACCAGAAAGAGACAGAGAGACAGAAAGTGAGAAATCACTCCCCCAGGGGGGATGGCCATGCCACAATCCCTTCTCCTCCATTCTCCGCTCAGGATCTTGGGCACGCACGCACACGCGCTCGGCATGAGTTTAAGCCACCAGGTCTGGGACTCAAACCGCGGCCGACTACATGGGAGTCCAGCGACATAGCCATTACACCAGCTGCTGGTCCCGATCATCTCTTTGTCTAACAGAAGCCTGTTACCTGAAGTTGTCTCAGACAGAGGCTCCCCCAGAGTTTTTGGTATATTTTCAAATATTAGATCCTTTCTACGAAAGGCCTTACAAGAGGGGACCTTCGCAGTTCCTATTCTCAGTTCTCTAGTTTTCCTTCCTTCTTCAAAACCCTCAGGTATTTTAAAGCTTGTGCCAAGAAAGTGTGCCACCCGATGACTGTCCTCACGGCGAGCACTCCGTGACCCTGGGCACTCTCCTTAACGCACGGTAACTCCTACCGTTTCTTTCCAGCCCTGCTCCTGTCCCCAAGAACTGCAGCCCTTGTGTGAAAGGTCCACGCAAACACTTTGGCCTTTCAGTTCCCTGTCTGTGGATCTGCAAAGATTTTAGCTCCCACGCACGTTCGTCACCCACCCCCACTGGCAGGCCTTCACCTCTGCCCTCACCGCTAATCACATCGCCTCCAGAATCTCACCCTTCTCTAACCCACTCGGCCTCCTCTCACCCGACCCTGCACTGTCTCCAGAAATGCTTCTGCTAGATCAAGCCCTCACCACCCTGGCAGTCTCTGCTCACATCTGTCCTCCTTAGAGGGCGGCCCATCAGTATGTTCACGCCCTTCCAGACGCACGTAACTCCCTGGCCTTTCAACACTCTCGCCTGGCACAGCCCCGACCAGGGCCTGCCCCCCTGCATCTGCCCGGTCATCCCTGCGTGCTCATGCACAGAGCTGACGGCTCCTGGAAACACACACACACATCCTCTCTTGCACACGCATGCACACGTATCTCCCGTGTCTTTGAACGCATGGCCTTCTCCATGAACACTGGCCCTCAGCCAAGTCAATGCTTTCCCATCTTCTCTTCCAGAAGGTCCCTCTCCTCTGATAACCTTCCTCAGATCACTGAGAAGACAGAAACAGGAAGAAGCGACCTCGTCATTCCGTCACCAGATCCAGCACGCCCAGGGCTTCACCCGAACCGTTTCCCTGCTTGGCGGACATTTCTGTTCCCCTCCCTGCCCCGGCCAGGCTCTCCCACTCCTGTTTCCTTCTGCGCCCTTCAAGCAGGTCATGCACCCTGCACTCCGGCTTCTAGGCTCGGCGCTGCCCCTGCAGGCACCCCTCTCTGCTCTACTCCAGAGAACACGTGCAAAGGAAAACCTGTCGTGGTCCCCGCTGCACCGCCTGCTCACTCCTCACCCGATGCCAACCAGACTTCCACTCCCCATATTCCCCCAAGACCGCGGCGGTCACCACCTCACTGGTGACCTTCCACTGATGGTGACTTTGTGGCTCTTACCCCACTCTGTACCTAGCACACCTGCCAAGCTGATCATGTTCGCTCTTCAAGCTCATGCTCCCAGACATTCAGGACGCGGGGTGCCCCTGCTCCAGTGCGGCTTCCTCCTGGCCTTCCCTGCTTCTCCTCTTCCTCTCCTGCACCCCACTATTCCAGCCCTTGCAGACTCTGAGCCCAGACTGCCTTCTGCTTTTTATCGTCATAGTCCTTGCCACAGTGACTGGATCTAGCTTCGTGGTTTTAAAAGCAATCAACAGGGACCAACAGTTAGTGTAATGGCTATGTTGCTGGACTCCCATGTAGTTGACCGTGGTTTGAGTCCCGGGCCCGGTGGCTTAAACTCATGCCAGGCACGTGTGCGTGCGTGCCCAAGATCCCGAGAGGAGAATGGAGGAGAAGTGACTGCAGCATGGCCATCCCTCCCGGGGGCTGATTTCTCGCTGTCTCTCTGTCTCTGTCTGTCTGGCAAGCGCACGCTCCCTATAGCAAAAACCTCTCCAGAAAAAAAAAAAAGCAATAAACAGGCTCCTTTCACCATCTCTGTTGCAGCAAACGGCACGCACACCCATTCAAACAGCAAAAAAACCAAACCGAGGTGACCCTGGATCCCTTACCCCGACAATCTACTCGACCCAGTCCATCGGTGGTCAGCCTCGAACACAGACCTCGAGTCTGCCCACTTCTGAGTCACGATCCACCACCCTCAGCTAAGTTACAGCTTCTTTTAAAAAGAAAATCTCTCATCGTGATTAATCTTTTAAACGTCCCCATAATACAGATATACAAACACACGATTGTACACATATATATGCATATGGATAATAACATGTTTCCTTCCCACCCCCGAGTTGACACTGCATTTACACAGATTCCTTAACCCGTGTTTTCAATATCGCATTCTCTGTTACACATTTCGTAGATGACAGAAGCACATGTACGTGTGTATATCCATACATACATACATATTATAGATATACACACGCACACACACACGCACACACACACACACACATATGAGAGATATTGATGAGATCTTTTTCATGGAACTCTATCAGTATTCTTTATATTCTGTCTCGCTGTTCCAACTATACCTTACAGCTATGTCTCTGAGTCATGCTTTAACGCTAAGGCATTACTAAAAAGCTTCATCATGTTTTCATGTTAGGTTTCATGACTTTTCCATCTTTTCCAGTATGACTGGCGTCGAATAGTCATCGCATCTACTTAGTGTGCATTTTCCTCGTTAACAGTGATCAGACAACCTTTTGCTTACATTCGGTATCTCCTGGGATTGGCTTTCTCTGGACTGCCCATCTCTTGGTCCCTTCCCCATCGTGTAATTGGACTCTTTGTTCTTTTTTGCTAGAAGACACATGTGTTCACCAGAGTGAGACTGAGAGAGAGGAAGGGCAAAAAGGCACCTCCCATGCAGAATGGTTATGCCACAGGGTCCTTCGATTCCATTCTCCCTCCTCTGGGGCAGGTGCACACATGCAAATGCCACACCCCCCTGGTGTTTTCCTCAAGCCTCCGGGTCCAGGACTCATAACACACGGTCAGCCATGTGGGACCCAGCCACCTCAACTGCGGTGCCACTGTGGGGCCCTATAAATGTTCTAAGAGATCCCTCTACAGATACATTTGCAATGTTTGGTTTTTTTTTTTTTTGAGAGGTTTTCACTGTAGGGCGCGTGCGCTCACCAGACAGACAGAGACATAGAGACAGAAAGCGAGAAATCACCCCCCAGGGGGGATGGTCATGCCGCAATCCCTTCTCCTCCATTCTCCTCTCAGGATCTTGGGCACGCACGCACACGTGCCGGGCGTGAGTTTTAAGCCACCGGGTCCGGGATGCGAACCACAGTCGACTACGTGGGAGTCCAGCAACATAGCCATTATGCTAACTGCTGGTTCCCAACATTTGCCATGTTTTACAAATAGTTTTTGAAATGTCTTATTTATATTCATTAATTTTGCTTATGTAGCATATGTCATTAAAAAGTTTTCAATTTTTATTACTGATTATAATCCTGTTTTTCAGAATTCCAGCATTCTCTTATACTATTATAATGGCCATGCCACAATCCCTTCTCCTCCATTCTCCTCTCAGGATCTTGGGCATGCACGCACACGCGCCCGGCGTGAGTTTAAGCCACCGGGTCTGGGACTCAAATCACGGTCGACTACGTGGGAGTCCAGCAACATAGCCCTTACGCTACCTGCTGGTCCCGAAATATACTATCTTAAAACACTGAAGTCTGAATCATTTATGTCTTGAGATGCATCTACCGGGTTGTCGGAAAAGTCATGACGTATTTTTTTCTGGTTTTTTTTTTTTTTTAATTGAAAAAAGGGGCGAGGCTTTTCTGACAGCCCAATGGATGTACTTGCTACATTAAAGTTCTGAATTTAGCTAATATGACAATCAACCAAGCAGAGCATGCATTGCGAGAATAATTCATGAACTACACAGAGACTTTCAAAATGAATAGTACGTGAAAACAGTACTCAGACAGTGATGTTTCTTCCGAATAGCCATTAAGCATGAATGAAAACGACTCTTACTATCAGTAGACAGGGTACAGTCTCTGCTGTCCTTTCCAAAACCACATAACTCAGGACCGGCAGGTGGCATGGTGGTTAAGGGCACTGGCCA